ATTCAGGTCATATTTTATCAATACATATAAGCATAATTGGGAAAAATGGCAGATGAATTGGTTGAAAATGTTGAAAATACCGATTGAGTGATTCAGAAAGCACTAGAAAGGATTTTCAGAGCTAAAACTAAGGGTGTGTCATGTGGATCTGTGTTTAGGAATAATATTGGTGGCGTCTAACTGACTGGATCAGTTGACTCAGCTCAAAATGGCGCTGTGTTATGTGATTTTCATATATTGTTGATGTATAAATAGTTTTTCAGTCCTAAATCCTATCTCTGCGTGCGTGCGTGTGTGTGTGTGAGAGAGAGTAACATCATAGTGGAGTCAGCTGTCTTAACTGTGGCTTGCGTACTGCACACATACCAGCTTCATCACTGTGTCTGTCACGCGACTCTGTTCCGCTTTCAGGCTCTGTCTTTACATTTATTTTGAAAGATGAAGCTCACGATTATGGTAAGGGGCGTTACATTTCCGACGAGTGCTTGCGGTGTTCGGCCAATCACAATGCACTGGGTCAGCTGGCCAATCAGAGCAGACTGCGCTTGTCGGAAGGAGGGACTTTGTAGAAAACGACACGTTTGAGAGAGGCGGGACATAAAGGGACCTCCAATAATGTACAGTATTTGAAAAATAATGTGTTTTTTGAACATTAAAGCATGTCAACATATTCTGTTACACCAAATACACAAAATGATGATCTTTAAAGAAGCATCATATGACCCCTTTAAATAAAATGTATTATTGATTCATTTTAATCTAATTACATGTGTATTTATTTTAATACAAGTTTATTATTTATTTTATATCATTTTTTAATTAAAAAAAAAAACACTATTATTTTTTATTATATATTGATTTTTACACTGTTTTTTTTTCTCTAAACTTTTCTAGTGACCCCCTAGCACTCTTTTCCGGCCCCCTGAGGATCCTTGGACCCCAGTTTGAAAACCCTGGACTAAAGTACCTCTTCCTGAGCTCCTCTTTAGTGTCAGGAAAAGTCGCCCTGGCCTGTGTTTTTGGAGATTGTGGGTCAGATGTGCTGGATGTTCGAGTCTGCTGGCCTGCAAGGTCAGAAAAATGAAAATGATTATCCCTAACCTGCATTACAAATTAAATATCTCACTAATTGCAACTCAAGCAATGGGCATGTAAACTGCAAACATTTATGAAAATAGTGTGTCATACCTAGGTTTTCTTTATTGCTGACAGGTGGTCTTGGATCAGCACTGGCATTCCTCATGCGCTGTAGGACGTCTTCAGACAGCTAAGGACAAAACAGTGGAGAAGTTACACAGATGTCCTCAACAAGCTTATAAAGTTTTAGAAGAGTGCTCATATTTCATACAATTCTTCCCACCATTAGGAAGCAGCAAATGCATACTCGATATAACAAAAAATATATGACACATAGAAAGGATAAAGCTTAATTATTCCTTCTGGAGCAGCCTTGCAGATTTGTAAACATGCAAACTAACGTTATAATAAAGAAAAATAACTTGTTTCAGTCTACAGAATTAGTGTTTCTTCCAACGAATTGGTTGAATGATTTAATGACTCGCACTTAATAAAAAAAAGAGACTCATGTGTCCTCACCTACTGACTTAATGCATTAGCCACTGAACAAATCTTTTAGTGAACGAACTATAAAAAAATAATAATAATAATAATTACCTTGAGGGGCACAGATTAGCAAGGTGTCAAAGCAGTTTGTCAAACCTCGAGGACTCGATGTCATTAACCAAAGCCCGTACATCAATCATGTGTGGACTAAATTAGAGACGAAACATTTCTATATTCATGTTTTTGCGAAATGACAGACGTCTTAAACAACGTTGTCCCGTTTTCCCCAAACTCGACCCGTTCACTGAAGGACATTCGGGTAAGTTGACGGCAGATTCACTCAACAAAGTCCCACGAAAACAGATATTATCGTATTGTAAACCAGTATGATTGGTAACGTTAGGTGGTAAATATGGGATGTCGGATTACCTTCACTCCACGCAGAATCCTCACCCTGTCATCCTCATCTAGGCCGAAAGAAACTCTCCTGGTCGTGCTTTCTCCGGATCCCATCGCTTTTTGGTACAGCTCCGTTAATGGATCTTTAATATAAGAGAGATATTTTTACTCTTTAATTGAAACGAACACAAAGTATTCCGTAAACACGCCGATATGTTTGACAGATTTGCATCTTACCGTTGGGAAGTGGCAGTTTGTAAGGGGACAGTATCCTGAAACATTATTGGCCAACGACAGTGCAATAAGCCAATAGAATTGCATGATATATCGGCGACTGGAGTAAAGGCTTCTGGGAGTTGTAGTCAATAAGGCTAATTTTTTTACTAGCGCGCAAATTAGTCAGCGCTCATTCACTCAAATAACCTACTATAATAAAAAAAAAAAACTGGATAATCTCACTTCACTCAAAAAAAAAAAGCCTACTATAAGATTGGTTTGATGTGTTCTTTATATTAAAACGTCTTTGTTTATTTGGAGTGTTTTAGATTACAAACTGCAAGGTTTGTTATCTCTATCAACAAAAACATTAATTGGGAAAACTAGAGGTCTAAAATTATCTAATAAATATTGAGTTCAATGACTGAGACTATGCTTCAGCTGTGAATCAAAATCACTTCCAAAAGCCCAGGTGGGAGTAATGTTTCTAGCAAGAGGTTAAACAAATGTTTTAAGATAGGTAACTTTATATCTCTTTTTTATTACCTCCAACTAAGTATTGTATACAAAGTGACAAGATAAACTTCTAATAAACTGGATAAACACAAAATAAAGTGTTTTACTTTGATTCTTGTTGTAATACCGATAACAAATGAACCCCATGGTCTAGGCTAAATGAAAAATACATTTTATAGCAACTGCATAGTCTCTCTTCACAACTCTGTATAGAGGAAAATGCATTGTTTTTACATTTACATTTAGTCATTTAGCAGATGCTTTTATCCAAAGCGACTTACAAATCAAAATCAACAAAAGAGCAATGATACGCAAGTGCTATAACAAGTCTCAGTTAGCTTAACGTAGTACACATAGCAAGGTTTTTTAAAAATCATATAATAAATAAAAAGAAAACAGATAGAATAGAAAAAGAACAGAGCAAGTTAAAGGCCTTTTTTGCTTTTGTTAATTGTATAATAAATAAAAGAAATAGAATACAAAAAGAACAGAGCTAGTGTTCTTCTTTTTTTTAAAGAAAACAAGAAGTTAGTAAATGAATAGAGTGCAAGTTTAAAAGGGGCATGTTTTTTTTAAAGAATAGAATTATAATAGAGAGTGCTAGAGTTAGAGGGTCAAATAAAGATGGAAGAGATGTGTTTTTAGCCGATTCTTGAAGATGATTAAGGATTCAGCTGCTCGGATTGGGTTGGGCAGGTCATTCCACCAGGAGGGAACATTTAATGTAAAAGTCCGTGAAAGAGATTTTGTGCCTCTTTGGGATGGTACAATAAAGCGATGTTCACTTGCGGAACGCAAGCTTCTAGAGGGCACATAAATCTGAAGTAATGAATTTAGGTAAAGGGGTGCAGAGCCAGTGGTGGTTTTGTAGGCAAACATCAATGCCTTGAATTTTTTGCGAGCAGCTACTGGTAGCCAGTGCAAATTGATGAACAGAGGTGTGACATGCATTATTTTCAGCTCATTAAAAATTTATCTTGCTGCCGCGTTCTGGATTATTTGTAAAGGTTTGATAGAACTGTCTGGAAGACCTGCCAAGAGAGCATTGCAATAGTCCAGCCTGGACAGAACAAGAGCTTGAACAAGGAGTACCGAAAGAAAGGCCCTGATCTTCTTGATGTTGAATCAAGCAAATCTGCAGGGCCGGGCAGTTTTAGCAATGTGGTCTGAGAAAGTCAGCTGATCATCAATCACAACTCCAAGGTTTCTGGCTGTTTTTGTAGGAGTTATGGTTGATGTGCCTAACTGGATGGTGAAATTGTGATGAAATGAAGGGTTTGCTGGAACCACAAGCAGTTCTGTCTTGGCAAGGTAGAGTTGAAGGTGATGGTCCTTCATCCAGCAAGAAATTTCTGTTAGACAAGCTGGGATGTGAGCAGATGAGAGATAGAGTCTAGTGTCATCAGCATAGCAGTGATATTAAAAGCCATGTTTCTGAATGACAGAGCCTAGTGATGCCATGTAGACAGAGAAGAGAAGTGGTCCAAGAACTGAGCCCTGAGGCACACCAGTAGTTAGATGTTGCGACTTGGACACCTCACCTCTCCAACATACCTTGAAGGATCTATCTGAAAGGTAAGACTCAAACCACTGGAGTGCGGTTCCTGAGATGCTCTTTGCCAATAGGGTTGACGGAGGTTGTTCTGTGTGAGAAAGGCAGAGACTTGGTTGAACACAGCTCATTCAACTGTTTTTGCAATGAAAGGAAGAAGGGGAACCTGTCTGTAGTTCTCTAAAAGAGATAGGTTAAGGGTGGGTTTCTTAAGTAGTGGGGTTATACAAGCCTGTCTGAATCCTGAGGGAAAAACACCAGTGTGAAGGGATGTGCTAATGATGTGAGTGCAGGTACAACCTCAGGAGAAATGGCTTAAAGGAGATGAGATGGAATAGGATCAAACGGACTAGTAGGATGATTAGAAAGGATGAGTTTGGAGACTTCTGCCTCAGAGTGAAGAGGATGTGAACGAGTGTAATAGCCGAATGAGTGTAGTTTTTATCACAATATAAACTGCTTAAAAGTCAATTTTGTAGGCATATGAAATAAACAAACTTTCTAAATCACCTGCACAAGGTAACTAATATTAATGTTGGCTGCTTGTAATCGGAAAGTTAATTTGGTATATTGTTGATTCCTTGTTCTTACATTCCCAATTTTGTAACTTCAAATAGAAGTGTGCAACTTATTCTATCTACTATAATTACCAGATATGAGATATTATTAACCTTTTACATTTAACACCCATAACACAATATTAACACTTTCAACAAATGCATGACACAAAATATAATTCAGACACCAGACAATGTTCTCTTTCAGGTATTGATTTATTCTCAAATGCCATCATACTCCTCACACAAGGCATCATAATAAGCGAGTACTGTACATATAATAACATTCCCTGTTTTATAGACAAATCACAAGTAGTAATGTTTCTATGAAGGAAAAGACGGACGTGAATAAGAGGAAGCTGCATTTTTGACTGCTTTGACATTTGTGAAAATGTGAATAGTAAGTGCACAGTAATCAGTAATTACCTTTAAGTTATAGCGCAAGTCAAATCAAATAACTGATTTCCATTCAGAAAGTCCTAAAACTCCCACCTCTAATGTGGCACTGACGCAGAATAATCCCAGTACTAACTGTTATGACCATGCATGTTCTCTTTAATTGAACAGCAGAATTATAATACAATGCCTCAGGTAATTACACTGCCATAAAGGCATTTCAGTCTAATGGCTAATGTCTGTCACCATACATTTTTAATTGAAGATTTCAAAGATCCCACTATAGGAAACTGAATTGAGAATGACATGAGATAACATTATTTAACATGACACCATCGACATCACCATAGTAGGACTGTCCCAGAGGAAATAAACTGAGGCAGGGACATGACGGTTTCAGTGGACAATGATTGTGAATAGGGTACACAAAATAGAGGGCTTGTAAAGAACCATTATGATTGGCTGGGATTGAAGGAGGTCTAGGAGTCATTGACTGACATGTTCTCCACTTTGTTCTCTAGATCAGCGTCACCACCCTGCTGTTTCTTCTTCTTCCCTCCTTCCTGCTGTTTCTTCTGCTTCTTGGCTGCCTCCTGGTCAATGGGGGCTGGCTTCACAAACTTGATCATCTCTGTTAAACCTGAGTAAAGAAACCATAATATTGAGATAAGACAGTTGGTATATTGTATAAGAGAAAACATAATATACAAACATTGAATGATCTAAAGAGTCTATTCATAGCTCACATATCTTGAGATGTATGACAACTACTACTACAGCATGACCAGTGTAGTCTGATATAGCAGAACAAATTAATCTTTTGAGCCAAGGAATGACTCTAATGGACTGGATCTTTATGGTGAATCAAAAACATACAGCACAGCCAGTGTGGTCTGATTACTGAAGAAATTAATCTTATGATTGGTTTGTTTTGGGTGAATCAAAAACATGCAGCACAAGTGTTGTCAGATTCCCAAATGAATGACTCTTATGAGCCGGTACTTTATAGTGAATCAAAAACATGCAGCATGACCAATGTCATCCAATTCCCAAATTAATGATTCTTATGAGTCGGGTCTTTTGAGCGAACCAAAAGCATGTAGTGTAGCCAGTGTGGTCTCATTCCTGAAGGACATATCTCTCTTATGTGTCAGTTCTTTTGAGCGAATGAAGAACTTGCAGCATGAAAAGTGTGGCCTATTTCCCGAAAGAATGTCTCTTATGAGCTGGTTCTTCATAGTAAATCAAAAAGTGTTATCTGATTCCCAAAGGAATTACTTTTATGAGTTGGTTCTTTTTTAGAAAATTTAACACAAAGCAGTGTTGCCTGATTCCTGAACTAATAATTCTTATGAATAACTTCTTGCAAATCAAAAACATACAGCTCTAGCACCAGGAAGCATTCAGTAGAACCAGTATCGAAAGCGGAACCAGAATTGTTAAATTCCTTGTGATTCTCAATATAATCTTTAACAAATATGCTACGCCATCCCAATAAAAAACAACTAGCACCTCTCAAGTCTTTTTCATACATTTAGTATAAGACTGAGCCAAACTTGACCAAAATCAAGATTAGTAGATCCATATTTAGTGATACTCACCTGGAGGCATGAATGCCTTGAGAGGTTCTGGAATAATGATGCCTTCCTCTGTCTGAAAGTTCTCCAGGATAGCACAGATAACACGAGTGGTCGCACACATGGTGGCATTTAGCATGTGCACAAACTCAGCCTTTAAGAGAACAGACACAATGACCAATGAAACCAGCTTGATACAGTAAATACAGATTACCCAGAATCCTTACTCAGAACTGTGGAGTAGCATTGTACCTCAGTGTTTCCCACAGACTTATGCAAATTCATTTTCTGCCAACAGGAGGCACATTTAAGCCTCTTTCAGAATGTCAGCCCAAATCCGATTTTCTGCATATCCATATGGAATCTGATTTGAATAACTGACTGTCCACACAGTGTATCGCAACGGTTCATATCCGATTTGTGTCCACATGTGCTCTTTCATTTTACGGAATGTGCATTGGTTTCTATGGCAATGCAGTTGCGTTATGCCTACGCTAAAAACAACAATAACAGCAATACAGTTTGCAATGCAGATGTTGTCTTACGACATGACAACATGCTGCCATCACGGTTGCGCTGCATTATATTTTGTCTTGTGAGGCAGCATCAGAAACTCAGGAAGCTGGAATGTGCGCCTTTATTCTGTGCTGCCATCTCCGCTACTCAAAGAGGTGCATATACTAGTAGTATATTGTGTTTTTCCGCTTGACTTGCACTTCGCAACGACACAAGCTTGTTTCTGCAAAGACATGCAGCACGTTTTTTACACAAATGTCTGACGTGTTTACGTTTTACGTGGCGTGAGGACGTGAAAAAGCTATGCTAAATCCGATTCGAGCGGTCAGACTGAAACGGATTTCCAGAAATGCGGGTTTGAATAGGGTTCCAAACCACATACGAATGTAGCTTGAAACAGATTTGCACAAATCGTATTTCATGTAGTTCGTTGCCATCCAGACTATCTAAATATGATCGGATTTGCACAAAAATCAGATTTGGGCTGACAATCTGAATGAGGCTTTAGAGCGGGAGAGATAGCGGTTTCCCCGGTAATGGTTGTACACAAAGCAGCACTCCGCTCACAAACACTGCTTTATCAGGCATTACACACAAGATGAAATGAAAATGACATCCAGAATTGGAAGACAGTCGGTTTCCTTCAGAAATACAGTGATATAAAAACACTGGCATTGGGTTTCGATTTTGAAACATGCAGTGCTCATGTTTATTCAATGAAGTCAAAGCCTTTTGGAAAATCTATTTGTGGCGGTCAGTTTTGATAGTGGCGGGCCGCCACAAATAAATCAATGTATGGGAAACACTGTACCTTGTCCATCATTTTCTTGGTCTGCCCGTAGCGAATTCGTAAGCGGCGAGCCTGGTAGTCTGTGCAGTTTGAGCATGACACAAGCTCTCTAAAAGCCTGGGAGCCTGGGAACCAAGCCTCTAAATCCAGCTTTTTACTAGCCGCATGGTTCAAAGCACCTGTGAGATAAAAGCAAACAATATATATGAAGCTTTGTTATGGGAAGCTGTGAAAAGCTTTTATTGCTTTCCAACAAAAGGTGCCCAATGGCACTCTCGATGAAAATAAAGGGTGAAGTGAACCAACCTGATACAATGTTGACAATGCGGTAGGGGATTCCCAACGACTGATAAAACTCTTCAGCAGTTCCAATCATCTCATCAAACATCTCCCAGGACTTCCCGTCATAAGGAGAGGCATAGACAAACTGCTCAATCTGGAAAGCGATGAAAAGAGGTTGTGATTTAGTTATTATACAGTTTGTTCTTCTCATTATTACCTGCAAAATATGCTGATTTGGCTAGTGGTCTTGTATTTTTGTAATGAAATCAAGTCATCTAAATGCACATTAATATTTCATTGTTCATTCACTATTTCAGTGATAAAAGTAGCTCGAACCTTCTCAAACTGATGGACCCTGAAGATCCCACGTGTGTCTCTGCCGTGAGAGCCCACTTCCTGTCTGAAGCAGGTGGAGAAGCCGGCATAGCGGATGGGAAGGTCTTCTGGCTTCAGCCACTCATCTCTCAGGAAGGCGGCGATTGGCTGCTCTGATGTGGCAATCAAATACTTTTCATCCACTGTATTGTCATCAGACTTCTCGCTCCCCTTCCCGATCACCTGAACAAACACATTACAGGAAACGCTGTAATTCTTTGTGAGTTTGAATTAAGACTCTGTAGAGGGTCTTTTCATTTAAAGCAGCTGGCCATCTGTCTGATTCATCTCAATGAATCTGTTTGTTTGAACACTTTATTTCAATGTATCAGTTACAGGACCCCCACAACTTTATCTAACACATATACAGCATAACAAAATTTACTTTGTAATATAATTAAAATAATTTGTAAATATTTTATTTGTTTTTGTTGTAATATAAAATGTATATATATATAACAAAATAAATAAAGTACAAAATAATATTCTATATATGTTATCTTATATAAAATATCTATATAACATTCATACATTTTTTTGGTTTTATTAATTGCATTAAGTGGTTCTAGCTTGATGGTATGAGATTTTGAAATACTCTGCCATTGCTATGGGTCAGATGAATCAATAAATACTCCTCACATCAAAGTTATATACTTTTATTGTGTAAAAATAATTCAATCAAAATGTCAAATCAATGGCTACATAAAGTAACAGATGTAGGTCAAACCTTGTAGAGCTCCTCGTCAAACTGGCTGAGCTGAGCGACCTCCTGCATGACTTCTTTCCTCATGAAGAAGGGTGTGTACAGAAGGTTGTAGTTCTTGCTGTACAGGATCCGCAGTGCGTAGTTAATTAAAGCCTGTTCCAAAAAAACTAAAGGCCCCTGAAATAGAACACATCAGCCATGATATTTACAAAAAAGCTTTTTGGGTAGTTTGTTTCAAAGAACTGGCAGTGGAACGGGTTTAAATATTGTGCAACAAAGCAAAAATGGGCTTAAGATGTTTAGCAGTGCAGTTTTCCTTTGGTTTACATACTTGCATAGTTTAACAATGCACAAAAAAAATGTCATCAGAATGGAATCAAACTCTGTGACCCCCAAAAAATTGTGGTCTTTATTTGAAAAAGCTAAATGGTCATTAAAGAAAAAAAAGTCACACTTGTGTCAAAAATGACTGCCACAGGAAATGGGAAATAAGCATAAATAGAAAAATAATGCAGATGTTTTTGTGTGTACAATCTACAAATTGGCCTCAATGCATACAAAAAAGTGCACAGCAATTAAGGGGTGACAAAATTTTAAAATCAAAGTTAAAGTTTTTTGGGTGTTAGTATCAATATGTTAGTCTTAAGGTTATCTATAAGCCAGTGTGCTCCAAAACAGTGACAAAATTCGCATTAAGAAGATATAAGCATTCAAAGCTTGGAGTTCGTCACTTCCACCAAAATGGCTCAACGATTTTTTTTGATGTCACTTCGTACTTCAGCTTCTCATCTCAATTTTCTTTGTCCAATCAAATGCTCTCTAGAATCCGAAGCCCCCTGCACTATAAATAGACGCTGAAGTGCCGGCTGAGATCGGTCACTCGTTCACAGGATTTGTATTTTCTGTACGGTGAACGATTCAGACAGTGTAAATATGCTTTACACTGGGGCAAAATAAGTCTGGTTTCGTGCTGTCACGCTAACTGACGCACCGCGCACACAGTGTGCTCTGGTCCAGAGACATGATAGTACGGAGCGGATCATATGCGCGAGTCGGCCCCATTTGAATTTTACATAGAATGCTATATTTTGAAGCAATATGGATGAGATTGTGGCTGTCATACCGTCAAATGTGGCTTTACCGAGCTCAATGGCTCTAGCCCAAACTGTGATATAAACGAACGCTACTGGCTAATTTAAAAAGGGGGCGGGGCTTCTTGATATGTCCCACCCTGTCTTCCTGTTTCAGTTAACCTGACGTCAACACATAGAATAACGGTGCGTGTTTCAAAGCACTTCAGTGGACCTTTAAGCAATTATGCCTGAAAACACTGCTCAGTAACTAATGATTACACAGCACTGAATATACAGTATATGGCTATACAGGCATCAGATGGCTACACCATGGTATGACACATGATTTTCTTCTTCTTTTTTTTTCCACAATGTGGAACATATCTGCCTCAATTCAATGGATTTTAAATACTTTTGCTCTATTTTTATCTTAAACACTGCATTAATTGAAAAATTATATAAAATAATTTTTACATTTTATACAGAAAATAGTCCAGAATTTAAATATGAATATTAATTAGTAACATGAAAAACCTGCAAAATATTAAAGAAAAAACATTTTTGAAATGAAATAGTCGTATATTCATTTCCCAAAAAGAAAATGATTACATGATTATGGCCCCCGGTCAGTTTTGACCACGAGTGTGACTTTCAAATGAACAATACCAGAGGGTTAAACAAACCTTGAGGAAGTATCCTCTGCTTCCAGCCACTATGGCTCCTTTTTCCCCTTCGTATCCATCCACCATGACAACCAGGTCCACGTGAGAGTACTTTTTCTGCACCGTACAGTCGCCCCAGGTGCATTCCACTTTATTATCAGCATCCTGGGTAAGAGAAACACTGTTATGACAGTGTTTATAACAGTATGGTTAAACAACATAGTATGGTTCATTTGTCTGTTCTAATTCCATGAAGGTTTTAGATTCAATATTCCACAAAAAAAAAAGTGATTTCAGGGTGACTTGAAATTAATATTAGAAATGTTGCATGGGTAACTAACTGAAATAAGTTTAAGTTAAAATACTGAAATGACTCAAACTGAAATTTAAAAAAATATTAAAACTCTTCAAATATTATATAAATAATTCTAATCCATCATAAAACAGAGATGACAATTACGTATTCATAATTTGCAATTTCTCTATATTGCAAAAAAAAAAGAATTGGTGGGGTGCTTAATTGTCAAAATAATGTCACAAGCAATTAACTGTAAAGGATTCATTTAATTTCTTCAAAATATAATTTTGATTTTATCCTGGACACGTTATTGCCAGCTTTCACAAGAATCACCCAAAAGCATAATAACCAGAGTTATCTAAAGAATAAAGCAATTCATTTAAGGATCACTTGCTTCTATGTGATCCATGTTAAAGCATACCAAGCTCAAATCTCTTACTAGTGAGACTTTTAGATGGATGTAAATGAATAGCAAATTAAATTGACAACCTGTCATTCTCTAATATTTTGGCAAGTCAAGACACACAACAGCACTGCCAGTCAGCAGCTCCTCCCTTTCACTGACACAGAGATTGCATCAGATCCTCCTGCGGCACATTTAATCAATACATACTCATACCTCTCCAAATAATATATCATATACACATACATTAAGCTCATAATAGCACATACTACTTTCATTAAATAAAGAAAAAAAGGTTAAACACGCTATGACAGCTGTGATAACTATTAGCGTCAATGCTACAATACACCGGCAATGCGGTTTCTGAACATTTATACACATTTAATGTGAACTTTATCATGTGCTATAGTTCAATTAGTGTATGTTTTACATTGTAAAGGCTTAATGTTTATGAACAGATCTGTTATACGTGTCACAATCTGTTTTCATTCACAGGCTGTCATGTGTTTCAATAGCTTTAGCGTTAGCCGCTACTCACATTTCCTCCATTCTGTGTCCGCCTCGACCAGTTTATCCACCAGAGACACATCTTTGAACCGTTTCCTCTGGGTTTCCCGCACGATTTCAGGATCGCCGCCTTTGTCGGTGCGAAACAGGTCTAAATCGAGCACCATGATGCCTGTGGACGAGGTGGGCAGTGCGGATGAATGAAGGAAGGGATATGGAAAGTGTGAAGGAATATGGAGGGGAGGTGCTAGAGAGCAGCTGCTAATGAATATTCATTACGCTGCTGTCTATAACGACGAAGGCTAAGCTAATGAATATTCATTATTTTTAAGCGACGTTGCTTTCCTGGAGCAGGATGCGTAGGTTCATTAATATTAATGAGCCAAGCTTTCACCATAGTGGCGTTCATCAATTTACATGATACTAAAACCATCCTATGAATCAATATTGATATTTTATTATTTTGTCGTATTTTACTAGATAAACCTGGCAGTTTATGATCAATACAGGCCGCTTTTTATTGACAGGTTTGGTTTAGCCTACATAAATATTGCATACGACCATGTAAGCAGTGCTGGGTAGATTACTAACAAATTGTAGTCCTACAAATGACATTACAAGAATTGTAATTATAGTAGTTAACATCTGAAGTGGAGCAAAAAAAAGTTCATCAAAGGACCAGAACGCATTTTGGTTTTTAGGTTTTAGGACAACTTTGATGAAAGGTTTTAATCCACTTCAAATGTTGACTAATGTAGTAATCCATCACATTACACATTTTAGGTCATATATTCAGACTAATTTTAGGTTACTTTTAACCTAATTTATCACATTGATTTAACTAGGACAATCTTGTACCATAGTGATATAAAAAGAAAAAGAAAATATATTCCATTCATTGTTATTAACAACATAAAGTGCATTACAGTGCATTACATTGTCAAGTTTGTGAGTTTAATAAAAAGCGAATGACTTAAATCATAAAAATGTAAACTTAAAATATTTGAACATAATCAAAATAAAACACTAAAAATAATAAATATTTGAATATGCACAGGTATATAAGAAGTATGATATTTTATAAAGCAACATTTAAAAGATGAAAAAGAAGAATTAGGGAGAATCATCAGATAAATTATGAATATTTTTTTGCCAATGTGTAAATAGTATATAATCATATAATCAATAAAAAGTTACTGTGATTACAAGTATTTTAAAATGTAATCTAATGCAATAAAAAGTACTTAGTTTTTGGGATCTGATTACGTAATCCAGATTACATGAAATCAGTTACCTAGCACTGTCTGTAAGAAAATGTTAATATAATATATAGATAACATGCTCTATAAGAAAAGCTTTATTCCTTCAAACATGGCTTGACTATGACATTCTTCTGGCGAGTAAGCTAATGTTGAAGGTGTTCAATTTTTTGGAGGTGTTCAGTGTGATTTGTGTAGTTATCAGGAATGTTTTGATCATTTTCCAGTTCCCATTTCTCAAAAAGAATTTCCATCTCTGCTATACAAAAGCAGCCTAAGGTGGTTTGCTGGATTTAGATTAGCCTGACCAGGATTGGAGACCAGATGAGACCAGGAAAGCATTTTAGTCTGTGTTAAGCTGGTTTTTTTTATGTTAATTGTTCCCTTATTACCAGTTTAAATTGATCCAACTCTGCAGTTAAGTTTAGCATATTCTTGTAGAAACAATCTGATTATTGCTCCAATGGGACTCCTGTGATTATTTACTGGAATAGTTTAATAGAAAACACGTGGAACAAGAAAGTGCAGCCCAAAGTAAAAGATTTCATTTTAAATTGACCTTAAAGGGTTAGTTCACCCAAAAATGAAAATTAGCCCATAAATTACTCACCCTCAAGTCATCCTAGGGGTATATGACTTTCTTCTTTCAGACGAATCCAGTCAGAGTTATATAAAAAATGGTCTTTGATCTTTCAAGCTGTTTCATGGCACTCAGAGGGTGTTGCATTGCCTCAGTCCAAAAGCACTTAATTAAAATGCACCCATCCATAAAAAAAAGTGTCTCACATGGGGGGGGGGGGGGGGGGGGAAGCAAGCTCCATTAAAAAAAAGTGTCTCACATGGCTCCGGGGGGTGAACAAAGGCCTCCTGTAGCGACTCGATGCGTTTTTGTAAGAAAAATATCCATATTTAAAATGTAATAATCACTTTAATGTAGCTTGCGCTCACTGTTGTAAGTAGAAGCAGCTCTGGGCGGATGACGTATGAGGTCAGCTTTGCGCATGCGCCGCTCAGAAGTGATGAACGCGGAAGTGCAGCGGAGAGATCAAAACAAAACACCGGCCACTTATTAGAAGTACAAAACGAGGATTTGTAAAGAAGAATGTCGGAGGATTTCGATATAAGCCAAGAGGAGACTGGTTTTCCTTTGCTAAAGTAAGGAAACTTTGCTTCCAAGGGTGAAAGTTTAAAAATAACATCTACGTCAATTTTTGTGTGTATAATGATGAAAGTTTGCTCATCTTTGTTGGTGTTGCCAAGTTTCTGAAGATTTAGTGGCAATGGAATTTACGATTGGTTTACTGTATTGTGGAAAGATGTGGTGTTTGAATTCTTTGCCAATGATCACATGCAAACCATTTTATGCAATAAACTTGATGTTGTGGCATGCTACATTGCATATTCATAAATCAAGGCTTTCTAATAGGGGTATTTTGTGTGAAGAGCCAGCTGTTTCAGATTGTATACCAATACAAAAACATCATATATCAGTCGGACAAAATAACCCCAGCTTTTTTTTTTTTACAAAAGCAATGAAAGTTTATTTGTAAAACATCATGCATTTATATAGTTTCATAAACATTTTATGTAACGATTAATGCATTACCTTATACACAGGTATGTCTGGATTTCCTTTCATTATTATAGTGTAGGACAATGCACTGTTGTTGCTGTTGAGGTATTTTGTCACATTAAAATGTAGTGTTTTTCCCTTTCATGTTATACAAATACAGATTGTTGCAAAACAATACATTTGTGAGAAACTGACCTTACATACAATATAATAAATGTAATTAAAAAATAACACTTCAGGTCAGCAAACTACAGAATTTAAAGTCATTCACAGCAATACATCGAAAGTGTCCTCTTTCAATTTGTAGAAGAAAGACTATAATTTGTAGTGGAAGTGCATGCAATTACTAGGAATATTCACTGTAACATGATGTTTAACATGCATGAACATAAGCAACAGAACAAAAATAAGACAAAATAAATACACATTTATATGAAAAAAATCGTTCACAGCATTCAATAACGTCAATATACTTCAACATCCCTCTTATATGTTTTTCACAATAACCTAAATTCACCCAAGATGCCACTGAGCTACAACTAGAAGGTGCTTTTCCATACAAAACTCTTCTCCATTGACATTCAAAAGATGTAAATCAGGAACGTTAGATAAGTACTAGTGGCTCCCAAGGAAGTCCTGGTGGAATCCGTCAGTAAAGGGACTGTTCTCAAATAACACTCTTCCCTTTGCTTCATTAGAATGATGAAGTGAGTCAATTAATTGAGGCAGTCCTTATGAAATGACAGGAATTCCTACATGTTCCTCTTCAGAGAACTGTGTCGTGGCCTCCTGGATGGCCAGCTGTAGTGCAGCCCCAGCTGGGAGTTTACAGTACCCACTTTCTGAAATGTTCTCCACCTGTAGGTAAACTCCGGGCTTCTGCAAAGCCACTCCGTGAAGATGAGAGAAGAGCAAGGGTAGGTCTTTAGTCAAGGTGTATCTTGAAGCAAGACCAAGTGCCGAGGGGATATCAGACTCTTGTGAGTACTCAAAAGTGGCCACCATGTATTTGGAGAGGTCTCGACCTAACGCTTTGGCACGGCACAACTCCTCTCCGATCATGGAAACCATTGCCAAAGCAGTGTTCTCTAATGGTTCCTCATCCTCAGACTGCTGCTTCTGATTCTGAAGGAGACCTTGTGAGCAGATGACCAACACAAAGACAAATAACACTCTTCCCTTTGCTTCATTAGAATGATGAAGTGAGTCAATTAATTGAGGCAGTCCTTATGAAATGACAGGAATTCCTACATGTTCCTCTTCAGAGAACTGTGCCGTGGCCTCCTGGATGGCCAGCTGTAGTGCAGCCCCAGCTGGGAGTTTACAGTACCCACTTTCTGAAATGTTCTCCACCTGTAGGTAAACTCCGGGCTTCTGCAAAGCCACTCCGTGAAGATGAGAGAAGAGCAAGGGTAGGTCTTTAGTCAAGGTGTATCTTGAAGCAAGACCAAGTGCCGAGGGGATATCAGACTCTTGTGAGTACTCAAAAGTGGCCACCATGTATTTGGAGAGGTCTCGACCTAACGCTTTGGCACGGCACAACTCCTCTCCGATCATGGAAACCATTGCCAAAGCAGTGTTCTCTAATGGTTCCTCATCCTCAGACTGCTGCTTCTGATTCTGAAGGAGACCTTGTGAGCAGATGACCAACACAAAGTCACACTCGTTCAATCTCCTGCAATGCCACCCCATACTGCCCTCCTCCATAATACTCAAGGCCTCCCATAAGTCCAAATGCACCTAAACAGAAAAAGAAGAATTAAAGGGTTCGTTCACCCAAAAATTTAAATTCTGTCATTAATTACTCACCCTCGTGTTGCTCGAAACCCGTAAGACCTTCGTTCATCTTTGGAACACAATTTAAGATATTTTATATGAAATCTGAGGGCTCTCTGACCCTCCCATAGACAGCAAGGTAACTACCACGTTCAAGGTCCAGAAAAGTACCAAGATGATCGACAAAGCAGTCCGTGTGACATCAGTGGTTCAACTGTAAAGTTACGAAGCTACGAGAATACATTTTTGCAAAATGTACAAAAATAAGGACTTTATTCCACATTTTCATCTCTACTGCGTCACTTTGGACACGCGTTCATGACAGTACCATGACACGAGCGTGTGGCGAGGGTCAGAGAGCCCTCAGATTTCATATAAAATATCTTAAATTGTGTTCCGAAGATGAACAGAGGTCTTACGGGTTTTCGAACAACACAAGGGTGAGTAATTAATGACAGAATTTAAATTTTTGGGTGAACTAACCCTTTAACAAGAAATGTAAATAACCTTGTATAGACACCATTTTTAATGGATTCCATTAATTCAATTTTTTTATGTGTAAATTCTATTTATTTCTATCATTTGTAAAACTATCTTATTTATTTTTTAATTGAGATGCTGATAGACAAAACAACAAAATAGAATTTTAATACTGTTAATAATATTGTAATACCATATTGTAATACCAAAAAAAAAAAAAAAGTAAAATATCCACTTTCTCCTTATATATTCAAAATAATGCGTGATATATCACTGTTTTCAAGAGCGTGCAGAAGATACATATCTATTAATTCATAAAATGTCTATTAATCTTAAACAAATGTAATTTAGCATTTCATGACCTTAAAATAAGCAACACCATGTTTTGTCTGATTTAATCTTGATGCACTTACTTGGGTACCCATGTGCTTTTGCAAAAACGCAGCCAGTTGAAGCACGACTCTGACGTGGGCAGGACCATCATTACTTGAATAGCAAATCAGGAGGCGAGGGGGGCAGGTGGCTCTGTCCAGCAAAACGCACTGTCCTTCATCCAGTTTTTTGTCATAGTACTGTTCAATGATCTCTGACAAATAGGAAAAAACAACCCAATTCCCCATTAGTACAAAACAACACGGACATTTTAGTGGAAAAACACCTCATAAACATTTATAGCCCTAATCTGGAAACACTTTAGTATAGGGACCAATTCTAACTATTTACTAGTTGCTAATTAGCATGCCTATTATTAACATATTGGCTGTTTATTAGTACTTATAAAGCATATTCTGCATGACCATATTCTACATCCCTAATCCTACCCAATACTTAAACTTAACAACTACCTTTCTAACTGTTAATAAGCAGCAAATTAGGAGTTTATTGAGGCAAAAGTCATAGTTAATGGGATGTTAATAGCGAGAATTGAACATTAAAATAAAGCGTGACCCAAAATCTTCAATAAAGGGTAGAAAACAAAATTCCAAAGAACTGTTGCTTAACAGTTTTGGCGATGACCAGTTTGATGTATAATTATAAAACTCGAACCTGGTCTCATTTTGGTCTGGACCATTTTCTTTTTGAGTCTTTTCTTGTAGACAACAATGAAGGTGAGCAGTGCGGTAGCAGCAAGCAGGATTCCCACGGACAAGAGCACCATTAGTGAAGAGCTCTCTGTGAAGCGTGAGATTGGCGGCTCTGATCGTGAGAGGAGAAAAATACCAAAACAATTATGACACAGGGTTTTTCATTGAAGTAAGTTTCAGTGGGTGTTGTCGCTTTAAAAGCTGCCTGGCATGTTTCTCCACAAGCAGATATTGTACTTGCTGAAAGCAGTGTATGTAAGAGATTTTTTCCTCTTTGTCATTGAACATGCCTTTATCGGTTTACACTACACTCTTAAAAATAAAGGTGCTTAAAAGGTTCTTCACAGCGATACCATTGAAGAACCATTTCTGGTTCCACAAAGAACCATTCATTCAAATCCATTCAATCTCTTTCTTACCTTTTTATAATCTGAAGAACCTTCTTTCACCACTAAGAACATTTTTTGAAACAGAAAGGTTCTTCAGATGTTAAAGGTTCTTTATGGAACCATTTAGACAAAAAGGTTCTTCTATGGCATCGTGAAGCACCTTTATTTTTAAGAGCGTAAATGTGATTTTTTTTTATTGCTGGTTCAACATACCTTCAGAACTATGTTTTACTACAACAATGAATGTTTTCCTGACTGCATCCACAACATCTGCAGCAATCTGGAGAGAAAAAGTACAAGAAACTACTCAACATGTAATAAATAAAGTCATAAATTGCTGTTGTAAAAAAAACAGCTGGAAGTTGTATATTTAGAAAATGAAAGCAAAAACTGCACAACTACTTATTTGCAGAAGCCTATTGGCACAGAGTTTTCTGTTTGTCTGAATGGTTGCGCCTGAATGAGAGATAAAATTACATAACTTACGATTTAATAACAGGGTAAACTAAAGCAAAATGAAGACTCACCTCGCAGGTGTAGTTCGTACCCACTTGGAGATTCTGCAATCGGTACGTGTGATGTGTCTTATTGAGACTGAAATCCTAGAAGAACATGATTTAATAATTAACATGTAAGCATTTCTTTTATTTTAATTATACACTCACATTACACTTCAGCAAATAACAACAACATCTGCGTTACAGATATTGTTCAAACGTATATATTGTTAACAAAACCTACTGGTTTGATGCTTGTGTAATTCCGCAGGCCGCCTCCGAAACATGATGAAAAATACTGACGCACTTTGAAGTTCTCAGGTGCAAGGTTAAAGGTCACATAAACGTCCCGGCTCTCCTGGTGGACCTCAACGTATCTGGGATACCAGTCTATAATGATTGATAGAGCATACATGAATGCGCACATCTGGTGCCAAGAACAACAAACACCCAGAAGATGTATGATAACAACAACACTTACCTTTCTTACACTCTTCGAGACCATTTTTTTCAGGACATGCTGAAAACACACAAGAAGAATTTGACAGGTTTATTACAACGCAAGCTTTGACAACTGATTCCCTAAGCATGCAGTGGCAGGTTGTCAACATCGGTAATAGCTTGCAGGGTTTGTTTTTTTAACTTACTGCGTGTAAAAAACTGTTTCCTCTGATAGAACTGATCCCACCGCTCAGGAATGGGCAGTGCCATGACAGTCACAGCATACTCGCTATCCAAAGACAGATGCGTGAAGGGATCTGAGTGATACAACACCTGTGGAAATATGACTTCAGACTTCAGTAATTGGACACATGCAATTGAAAGCCATAAAGAAAAAAACAGGACTCACACTAAATTGCTAACCATTTAAAAGATATAGGATGTAGGGCTGTCGATTTTATGCATTAATTTGGTCAAATGAATTTTGGAAAAATGATTAACATTTAAAGCACCACCAGCCCAGATCCATGTTTCAGTTTTATATATATATATATATAAACTAATTTATTTTGATTAATATAATGACAGACAGACAGACAGACGTTTTGTGTCTTTATTACCGTATTGGCTCGGGTTCCATGACACAGTAACGGCATCATAGGTTGGTTCTTCACTGGCTTCAAATTCAATCTGAATATTGCGCGGTGCGTGAACATAATGTTGGCAAACCTCTGGGGTTTCCTGACCTAGAAAAGAGTGACAAGGCCAAGGCACACAACCTGGCCAATGAGAGGAGTTACTACATAGTAACACTAAATGTGCTGTTGTTGTCTTAATGAGCTATTTATTTTCACACCTAGTGAAATCCCTTGTACTTTTATATGGTTTGGGGAAAATCTTTAAGTGTAAATCTCCATTAAAAGTGTAAATTATATTATAAGTGTAAATTAAATGATGTTATTTTACATGGCTTTTTACAACACTACTTGCAATATTGTAGATGCTTGTATCTATAACACAAATACAACAATTTCACAGTCACGTGTAATTTAGTACAGCTTATGTAGATTGACAATGAGGTACGATGTTGAAAACTAGAAGACTTGGAGATGATGTTGTCATAGTTAAAAACAGTCAAAAACATCGGACAGGCTCTTTAACGAACATAAGACATAAAAAAAATCATAATGAGCTCTTCTTGGAAAGCAGCTGAAAAGAACAAACATATTTATTCAAATTCTAGCTTGGCTCGAGAAAATCAAGATATGAAAGTGATTCCCAGAACTGCTGCAAATGATTATACGGCACAACAGCTTGTTTTATTTAGTGAAATTATCGGAACAACTGGAGGTACAAGTCCAACAGAGAGAGTAACGATCTAACATCACGCAACCAGTGTATGACTGCTTCATTCGTTTTTAGACAACACGTGTGTGCGGTCACAAACAATTCTAAATAAATGGACAAATACAAGTCATCCTTTTGGTATATTTCAACACTGATTGCTGTGAAAGAAAATGTAAACATGTTTCTCCAAATGTTTTCATTTAGTGATGCAGTGTATGTAATTCATTAGTAAATGTGTGACATGACCTTGTGAACTGCTTCGTACAAAAGGCCAGATTTCTTGCTTCCAACTTTTTTATTTAAATTCTTATGCTGATCATGTAATAGCAATTTAAAAAACCAGAGCGGACTTTGATGTACATCTTTGTAAGCGTTTAAACATACAAATACTATGATTCGTGCTATAATCATCAAACTAAATAAGGCTGAAAGATACTATAAAAAACCCTCACATGATCTTCATGATCTGAAGAAACCAGAAAAACAGGTACAGAAGACAGGCTTATAAATCTTCAAGAAGCATGACAAATGAGTAAAAGGAAGAATGACTGTTAGGAATTAAATATATTTATAACAGGAATATATATATATAGATATTTTTATATATAGTTTCTTTTTTTACGTAAAAAAAGAAACAAAATACTTATTCTGACCTGCACTGATATATATATAAAAAAACGTGTACATACTAAATTGTACTGTATTTTCAAAGACTAAAATGTGTAAAACCTGGAGGTTTGAGGTACAGTGGCAAAGGCTGATAAAGATATATAATTATATTTACAATTACAATTAATTTGTTTTAGGGCCACACTGTGATCCTTATATATCCAGCTAATCATTCTGGTTCTAAATATGCTTGACAAGATTTTTTTTTTTTGTATATAAACTATAGTTACATTGAATAGCATTTTAATAGTTGTCTTCTGTAAAACATGGTAAAACATTTAAGTCTTTTTTTTTAAGTATGAAAAAAGGTGTATTAAACTTTCTTTTTGATTCCAACAAAAACAAAAAACATCTAGTGTGCGCACTATAATATTTACATAGTATTGTTTTGGATTTTCATAATATTGCCTTATGAATCTAACATTAATGCTTTGCGGGACTGATAAAACAGCACCATATATTCCTTACATGTTGATACAGTAAGCTGGAAGTCAAAATATGAAGTCTTACCCGGCGGATGCATTCAAGCGTGCCGTTCTGAGGTCTGTAATGCATTTGTTCACCATGGGCCCCAAGGAACAAATTGACCAGCAGGAGCAGATCCAGGGTCAGTGTGGGTGGCCACATCCCGCTACCGTCACCTGTCTGAAGAACCCAGTGCAGCTGTGTCCTCGAAGCAGATAAGCTGTCTCAGGTCTCGTGAAGAACTAAAGATCAGTTGAGTGAAAGCGGAAGGGGTGGAACGGTGGGGGAGGAGGTAGGCAAAGGGTTGGGAGTGAAAACAACAGCAGCTGAGGGAGTGCAGCTCCTCAGCACCACTTTTCCCGCATGAGACTAGACAAACGAAGAAACACAAAGAGCTTTGGAAAAATAAGCCAAGAAACATTGTGTTTGAGTTCTCAGGCTGAAACTTCAGTCAGTGAGCTGAGGGGGGGAAAAAAACATGTCGCTGATTGTCCAAGGTTTGTGGCATCGAAGCTTTGAAAGACTTGAAAGAGCTGTTCAACATATCCTGGAGCACAAATGCTGATTTTCTACAAGAATTTGATCCAATTTCACATTCACCTGCCCTAAAAACATAACATATTACAAACAAGTAGGTCTCTTCCTGTCAATTTGGGTGGTTCTTGTCCAAAAACGTGGATCAGACTTTATGCTGATAGTCAAAAATCACCTTACCTCATCCTTCTCAACTGTGGCATCGTTCACCAGCCGAATATCATCATGCACATCAAAACTGAAAAGGGGCCCTGAGGAGAACCAGGAAAGCCTAATTTCAGTACCATAAACAGAGATACAACACAAAAAGTAGCAGGCTTATGTTAAATTTAATAACTGTTATCCTAAAAACATCAGAGCAGAGTCATGTGTGAAAACAAAAGCCACATGGGAGCCTGTCAAACCAAATGTGGAGGATAAAGTAGGAACTTACCACTTTTGCCTCTTGCTTTAGTCACAATGAAATCATAGAAACTGTGATGCTGGAAGAAAAGCAGGTTTTTAGTCAATGAGAGACGTTTTCTAAAAGGACAAATGAACTATAATCTGTGATTTACTACCGCTTGTCTTTGTGATCAGTTAAACACTTAATAAAATGCCCTTAAACCGTTGTAAAGCAGGTTGCGTCGTAAAAAAAAAAGTGTAGTTGTGCTTGTCACAAATTCTGAAAATGTGATGCACAAGCGCTGCGCATGGTAAACAATGACGTGTCTTCCAATGATTTAGGAGTGACTCAACTGGTCTTACATAAGAGAAGATTTAGAAGAATAAACATTGAAGCACTTGAAGATCTGATCCTTTAAAAGCATTAGTTTTGTTGTGGAAACTTTACTCACATGTGGGATTATCAAATCCTCTTTAATATACATTAGATGCTCCACTCCTGCTGACCTGCAGGACACAAAACAGACTCTGATATTACCTCATAGTTCAAAATTAAAAGCACTTCAATTCAACACCAGCTACGTGACACGAACAGCACACTTGAAAATTAAATATGACATGCTTTCTGCATGCATTTGAAATTCAAGGAAACCAAATTAGACCGAGCACACATTCAAAATTAACTCACTGTAAGTTACACTGCATTTTAACTAGAGCATGTCCCTCTTTAATGAATTTACACAAAGGCGATTAACACCTCCATCAATTTAAAATAAATAATATCTGTCTGATTACACAGAATTTGTCTTTTTGTCTGGCATTTATATGCAACATTTTATCGTGTTTTTAAGCGATTTTAGGAAAGATTTGAGGAAACTCTGAAATGGACTAGCTGGACTAACTCTTGTGTATTAAAACTAATAAAGTGTTTTAATAGCAGGTGGAAATGAATGTGTTTACCTCAGCTCACTGAAGTCTTTTCTCAAAACTTCCAGGGCTCTTTGGAGAAACTGTTGAATTGTGCTGCCTTTCTTCATCTACACAAACACACACAAAATGTATATTAAATGTTAACATTTTAATAATACAGCACATGCATTAGAACATGTTTGTCCAATTTGCACACGCAACATAGTAACAACAATGTAAATCATTTTGGGTGTGGCTTGTAGTTAGAACATTTGATAACCTGCATTTACCTTGACAGTTTTTCGATGCCCTGAGCCATCCCAGTAGCTGAAAGTGATTTCAATTTCTTCACCTAAAAAGAGCCGAAGAACAGGTTTGTAGGATGCTTCTTTTGGTTGGTGGTTGCATGAGGATTTATGAGCTACTTCATAACTAGACAAGTCTAAATTAAATTAGGAATGATTCTATAGATTCAGTTGCACCCTTGGCCAGGTTCACTGATATCAAACAAAAGATAATATCCATAACAACTGCATATCTTACTTTTGATCTTCTCTTGTTTTCTTTCCCACTCCTGCCTGAGTTCCTCTCTTAAACGATTTTCTTCTTCCTGAAACACATTTTACGCAGTAAGTTTTTGGTACGTTTTCCCAAAATCAACTGTATTTTTCAAATGCTTATAACTACTAAATACAACTTTTGCCAATTTTTAGGAGTTCACGAATATATAGTCATGGACTGCAAGCATCAAAACCTGTGGGGGATTTAAAACTAAAAACTCTTCAAATGTCTTTAACAAAAAAAAAAACTGAATTGACAGCATGATGTGATTACAAAAATAAATTAATTCAACATTTTTATTTTTGAGGCAGTTGATACACACACATACATGGTGTGATCATAACTGTCAAGATCATCAAATCACTTTTTTTTTAAATATCCAGTGTATGTTTAACTTTTGAAAACAATCCAAAGCTCATTGACAAATCATTGGCACATATACGACATGCATAGAGGTCTTATACCCACAGTACAAATGCAAACAAAAGCTTCGCGACGAATTACAGGTAATCTGTCAGACCTAAGGATCTTGCTATTCACCACACCTCAGTGGAAATTGCCTGGAAATGAGCCAAACAATGCAAACAAACAATCACACCAGCAAAACTACAATTCTTGTGGCGGTTAACACTGGTACACGGCTTTGTGATAAAGCTCAGAATGATGTCTCAATGTGTGCTGACACCTGAGCAACGTCTCTGCAAAAACAGCATACTTTTATTTGATGTATAGCCCAGAGGAGGCTCGTGTTAAACCAACAGTCTTGTATAACTGCATTCAGATCCTTAAAAAGAGGTCTTTAGGACAATCACTCTACACTCTTTGACACGGAGAGCAAATACAATTATTTTAGAGTGTTTTTTTGCTTCTCTAATCTATTTGTTGAATATAAAGTAGGTATACATGTGTTAACAGAGTCTCAAGAGCAGGATATTTACCTCTCTGTCCCTATCTGGCAGGAAACTGGTGTCCACATCTGGGTTCTTCCCTAGTTTTTTCTTCTTTGCAGGTATGCCTGTTATAAAAAATATAAATATATAATAAAAAAAAAGACTTAAAATTACTTCATATGTGTTGATTCTGCCATGGAATAACTAATAAAGCACTTTTACATGTTGGCTGCACCACTTTAAAATACTGGTTAGGAATTAAGAATCTAAGAGTCATTAGCAGTGCTGAATATGCAGGCCTTTTCGCAATGTTTGTGCTGGTTTTAGGGTAAACTAAGCAGGATGCATTTAAACATGGTAGGGACCATGGACGTCTGCACTTATTGATAGCTTACTGAAACATTTATTTGACATTTTAACAGTTTTGTAGACAGCTGTTCCACTTCCGTGGAAAACTGCAAAGTAAAATGTCATACAAATCTCCTCCTCAGTTTCCTCTTCCTCCTCTTCTTCCGCGCCTTCATCTGGATTGAAGGATAAACTGGCAATCTTCCTTTTCTGCTCTTCCTTTCTTTTCTTCTCCTTCTGTTTCTCAAGCTTCCTACAAGAACAGACCAAATATGAAGCTTTAAGATCAAACTTTATACAGATTTGAAAGGAAAAATAAACAAAAAAGCAGGATGCAGGCAAGATTTCATGCAAGAATATTCAACAACCTAGTCTTAATCTTAAAAGGCAGTTAAGTTACTTAATCTGATCTGACATAATATTTATCTGGGCAGGGCTGAGGCTGAGAATTAAATACAAAAAAAAATTAATACAGCTTATAAAGACCAGCAGAAGATTGGGTCTGCCCAATTTCAAGCATAATTACTGTACTAGGCGTGTGCAGCTACATGGCTAAAGGAAAACACAGACAAGCTGGCTGAACATAGAGAAATCTGTCAACAGCACCTGACTTCACTACATTTTGTAGATTCCCACAGTGACAATATTGCAATAGGTAATTGGATGAGAGCTACTTCAAAAATATGTAATAAGGTATGGTCACTGTTGAAATTCGTACTTCTGCTATATCCAGTAGAAATACAAAAATATACATTTTTACTTGCAAAATTTGCCACAGGTTTTAAAAAGTGCTAAAACTATGGGCTTAACTTTATATAGCAATTAATTAGCAAAGACCATTTTAGCAAAAAGCATAGTTCAAATGAATGAAAACAGCTTACAGCTGTAGCTCTTTTGACTGCTCCTTCTTGGCAAGCTGTTTCTCTCGTTCTTTGACCAGAGCTTCCTGCTTCGCTTTCATGTCATTCAGTGTCACCAGACCTGCGGAGAACAACAACATCCTTCACTCATAATATAGGGTTAATTTGGCTATTTTTCCCCAGTCATCATCTCAAAGACAAAAAAGAGTCCCAATTTACAAGAATTCCCCCTACAATTTAAGCTTATTGGCTTAAATTAAATAAATCCACAGGAGGATGTGCGTTATGACTAGGGTTGCCAAATTCAGACGGGACATTTAATACAATTAAAGCATGCTGCAGTGTTATGACAATCTAACGATAATCAAATGACAGCTCTAGTCATAACAAGAATGTCTAACATTTTCTGATCAACTACAAGCAGCCTCACTGAGATAGATAAACCCGCTACAGAAGCAGATCCGTAGTAAGTCATTGCATTTCTAATATTCACTTACCAACAGTGCTGGACTTGAGCTCTTGCTCCACAGCATCATAATGAGCTGAGAACTTTTTATCAATGTTGGACTTCACCATATTGTCCTGGAAAGGAAACGGTTAAGGTCAGTTAATGGGGATGTTGTTATACATAAAGTATAAGCTAGAGTGACTTGGGCTGTATATGAAGATTGTTGTAATGATGCTTTATAAAAGCACTCAAATCATCAGAAATCATTGCATAAAGCTTACAGATCAGCAGTTGACATACAGTAGAACCAAAACTATAAATAATCATAAATTACTGTGTATACTACTCGGGGCGGCCATATATATATATATTTGTGAACACATATGACTACAATTTTACAAGCACATGATTTTACTATAGTCTTTATTTATTTATTGGAGAAATGTGTGCATATTTATACTCAGTGTTGACGTATCTTCTACATGCACTTTTTAAAAATGTTATTTTAAAGAAGAATCCAAAAGTTATATTAGCCATGGTAAGGAGGAGCCAGTCATGTTTTAACATATATGACCTTAATTCTTATACTACACTAATAAAGTCATCATAACGTGGCATCATATCATAAAATGGACTTCATGCTGTCTAGAATGGGCAAGAGAAATAATCGTGTTATGGGTTAAACCATCTATATACTAAACTTGACATGGCATTACACTTTTGAGGGAAACGTGCAGCTATTTGTAGCAGGAATGTGGTCAGAACGGGTTGAATAGCCAGTGTGTTTATATGTTGTTATTCTGGCTCACTTGCCTCTGCTATCTTCTGTTTGAGCTGCTCGAGCTGTTCTCGCTCTCTTTCTCTCTTCTTCATGAGCTGCATCGCTCTCCCCGCTTCACTTGCCGCTCCTTTATACTGCGCCATTGCAGCTCTTTTACAAGATATTTAGAAAAGAAATAAAAACGCTCAAAAAAAAATGCGAAATACCTCCTGAATTCAGTCAATAAACAAACGAAAAACTTCTCGACTGAAGCAGGCGGTTGTGGGTAATTACCATAATACTGCTTCCGGTTGCTGCGCGAAATAACTGCATTCCAAAGTAAAAGTCTTCCCAGTCGCTTGCCTAAAATAAATATTGCATTACTATGGTTTTATGATTATGGCATTTCAAACATATCTTCATTTTTAATGTGCAAATCACTTACAAATAGTAGATTTATTTATTTGACATTAAAAAAATCAGCATTACGTTTACAAACACAAGAGGTATATTTCCTGAAATATGTGTTAAGTAATCGTTTTATGACTATTTTATGAAATTAAACTATTGAATTATTGAATTAAGTTTGTCCTCAGATAAACTTCCAGGGGACTTTTACTGAACAAAGGCCCTTTGGTAGTGAGACTCGAGCGACTCTGAAATCGATTCGCATCCCTGGATTGAGTGAGAGGTGATTTGGATGGAGATGAAGGCGGTGGTGTTCTGTACCGGGCTTATGCTTCTATTTGCGTGGCTTTCTCCAAGCCAAGCCCTTTATTTCCATATCGGAGAGACGGAGAAGAAATGTTTTATTGAAGAAATACCCGACGAAACCATGGTGATCGGTACGTCCATTGTCAAATCGGCTCTCTGCGATCGGTTAGCTTTGTCGGCTAGTTGATTCATCCATCTGGATCATATACCAGTAGTGTAATTCATCGTTTGTCTTATTTAAAACACTTAACATGAAGACAGCTGATGTCAAATCTGATTTAAGTTTGGATGTGCTTATCTGCGTCCATCTGTCCAAATAAAGGAGGGCTTTTAGTAGATCAGCATGATCAAGGATGTGGCAGGTGCAGCATCCTGCTTGGGTTCCTGAGATACAGGTGCAACCAGTTCCATCCCGCCAGCAGCTTCAGCCTGCATTTACCGTTTGCTTGTAGTAATCAGAAATACCAGTTATGTTGACAGGAGACAGTGCATGTGCATTTGTGCTATAATATACTTACTGTGTACTGCAATAATGATCAGATTAATGTTATTCTAATAAATATGTTTGTACATTTTTAAAGGATTAATTCACTCACATCACTCCAGTCCATCAATTAATGACTTGTGAAGTGAAAATAATTTTATTTTTAACCTATTCCTTTAATGATGCTGGTAACATACAGTGTTGGCCTTTATTTGTGTCTTTTTAGGGAGATACAGAACACAGCTGTGGGACAAACAGGCGGGCTCTTTTCTCCCATCCACCCCTGGTTTAGGCATGCATGTGGAAATCAAAGATCCTGATGCCAAGGTAGCCTGTCTATTTTATACAAACTTTCTATTACTCCTTTCTATTACTCAACAAACTGTAATTTGTAGTATAACAGTTAATAGGGTTATATTTGGCAATAATATATTTGGATACCAATACACTTCTGTGAAGTTGTTTTCACATTCTCTCTGTTTCTCAGATCATCCTGTCCCGTCAGTACGGCTCAGATGGCCGTTTCACCTTCACGTCCCACACACCAGGAGAGCATCAAATCTGCCTCCACTCCAACTCCAGCAAGATGGCGCTGTTTGCTGGGGGGAAACTGGTATGACTAAAAACCATGAAAGTGCAAATACTCGTTTCTTCAATAACTCGTGTATTAAATAAATTCAATCTAATTTATTGAGATGCACCTGTAGATGTAGAAAACTCAAAAAGTGTCATAGTTGCAGTCCAAAACATTCATCAGACATTTTTGAGTAATATGCTGTGTAATATGTAGTCTCTATATTTACTAAATTACATCAGATTTCAAATGTAGTGATATTTTGGTTTTTTATATATATATATATATATATATATATATATAGCTATTTTATATTTCAGTTTTATTTTAATTTGTTTACATTTGAATAATTTTTTGCTTTTGTCATTTTTTTAAAATTTCTATTTGACGTTAATTTATTTTTATTTCAGTATTAGTTTTAGTAATTCAACTTAAACCTAAGGCAACATTTCTCTTCTAATATTTATATTTTATTTTATTTCAGCTTTAGTTCAATGAAGGTTTGGTTAACAATCAAATATATTCTTAATATGGATTTTTTTTTTTTTACGTTTTTGAAATTACTTATATATCAGTATAGTAATTTTATAGATGATTAAAAAAACCTATTACAATATCTAGTTCAATATAATACAGTAAGCCTGTAAGTGAACATAAACATGTGAAATCATGCTGTCCTACAGAGAGTCCATTTGGACATTCAGGTTGGTGAACACACCAACAACTACCCGGAGATCGCAGCCAAAGACAAACTGACCGAGCTGCAGCTGAGGGTCCGACAGCTCCTGGACCAGGTGGAACAGATCCAGAAAGAGCAGAACTACCAGCGGGTGAGTTTCAGCTGCAGAAACATGTTTTAGGTTACGGTACAGTGAGGTGCTGTTGGCTGACCCACCAACTTAACCATTTAATCTGCGCAATTGCTGAAAGCAGGTACCTGTTCAGGATGTTTAACATTTTTGGCATCTGTCTTGTCAATATTAGTACTGTATCTAGTGGGGTTTTTCTAGGTAACTAAATCTAAGACCATAAAAACGTTTCATTACTTGAAATAGAATATACAAGGAATAAAAATTCCCAAGGCAACATTTCTTATTTTCATTTAGTTTAACTTGATGTACTAAAACAATTCAAACTACAACTGAAATAAAAATTAATATAAACTATATAGGGATATATACAAATGTATATATTTACAATACAAATGTATATATATCTAACTAATAAAAAACTGCAGAATTACTAACTTTAAATACTATTACCATGAAAAGTGAAAATATAAACCGAGGCCATAAAAAACATTTTTATTTAAAATAGAATAAAATAAAATATAAACATTTCTTATTTACGTTTACTTTAACCTGATATGCTAAAATTGAAATAAAATGTAATAAAGCTATATAGAAATAAATAAACTGAAACTAATAAAAATTACTAAAACTTAAATGAAAATGTAAGTAGAAAATATAAACCAAGACTATACAAAATTGTTACTTGAAATATAATAAATATTAAATAAAATAAACATTTATTTTCATTTAGTTTGACTATGTACTAAAATAAAATCTGAAATAAGTTGCTAAAAACAAAGACATAATTTACTAAACAGAAATGGTAACAACAGCAAAATTACTAAAATAATAATGTGAAAATATTAAAATAGTTACAAATGAACTAATACAAGTATTTCAATGTTACTTAAATAACACTGCCATCTAGTTCTCGGTGTTATATCGTCCAGCATCTGTATGGGATTCTGTATTGCACTCAGTGTTTTTTGTTTTTTCCCATAGTACCGTGAGGAGCGTTTCCGTATGACGAGCGAGAGCACAAACCAGCGGGTTCTGTGGTGGTCTATCGCTCAGACCATCATCCTCATCATCACAGGAATCTGGCAAATGAGACATCTCAAGAGCTTCTTTGAGGCCAAAAAGCTGGTGTGAAGATCAGACGGCATCACAGAGACAATAACTCAAGTAACATTCATTGCCATTATGGTTTTCAAGCATGGAAATACTCAGTGCTTCATTTCCATTTTTTCTTTTTAAATTCAATTCGGTACAACTTTATCTTGAACAGATCAATTCAGACACAATGAGCTTAAACAGGCAGAATATTAACAACAACCCTTAATTCTGCTGTATGACTGATAACCCTTTATCATACATGTCTAGCATCTAGAACATTGTTCATTTGACTAAAATGTGTGATAGGAAAATGTTATGCTTTTAAAGTGGTGATCATTATGGGTGCATGGAAACTACTGTTGATTTTAAGGTTATTACTGATAAATGTGAAGAATCAAGCCAGCTAATCATTTCAGCATTTTTCAACATTTTTAATATGTATTTATTGAGGTATTTTTCAAATTTGTGGCTTTGTTTTCATATTCTGTCTGTCTCGGGCTCTCAAATAGGTTTGATGTTCATGATTTTGAGGGGAAATGATTCAAGCTAATTGACTATAGCTTGCATAGTAGCTGTTAAGACCAACAAAAATACATATTTTAAGAATTTCTTAATTGTTTTACAAAATATGATTTTTGTTGTTGTTCTCAATGTTCTGTTTCATGCTTTATTTATTAACTGCATTGACCACATTTAAACATACAGGAATGTCTGTAATGAAAACTTTAGGTTTTCTGGGTTCTTCAATTTCAAGAATATATGTTGTTTGTAGGATCTTTGGAAAATTTTGTACTGGCTTCTTACAAGTACCAATTTATAAAAATGCTGGTTTGCATGATGCACAAATCCTCCATATAATGAGGCAATTTGAAGGTTATTTCTAGGCTAACACAGCTGTATTCTCAAGTGTAATTCAAGCTTTGTAATAAACTGTTCATCAGTGTGCATGCAGATACTTAACTGTACACTTGGTACTCAGTCGTTACATTGTTTGACACATCATTCATAAACACTGTCTTAGTTTCTGTCTATTTTAGTTGTTGTTTCTTTGAATTAAATGTGTTTTAAATTTACAGATGCACTCTGTCTTCATGAATGAGCAGCATAATGTACTTAATTTACAATAATATATATATATTTTTAATTGTTATATATAAATATACTACCATTCAAAACTTTGGGGTCAGTAAAGATTTAAAAAAAAAAAAAAAAAAAAAGAAGATTAAAACAGATTAATACTTTTATTCCCCAAGGATATATTTAATTGATCAAAGTGACAGAACTTTTTTGACGTCAACATGAAACATTAGCATATTGCCCGCCCACTTGTTGGTCTGAATGAAAATGCAAATTCATTCTCTGCCACTAGGTGCAGGCTTTTTGGTAAAAACAGCGGTTTCCCCGGTAACGCTGTACACAAAGCAGCACTGTGCTCACAAACACCGCTTTATCAGGCATTACAGGCATGATGAAATGAAATCGACCAATCACCGCAGATTAACGTCACGCAAAGGAGTGGTTTGGAAAAATGAATTGTTGAGCGAATCGTTTGGGAGTCGTTGAGGAAGTAAGGTAAAATTAAGAGCATATTATAAGACCATGAAAGTGTTTTTTGACCTTGCATGCATGTCAACCTGTTGTTGG